GTTCATCGCACCAGTTATTGAGAGAGTAGCAAGTCTTTGCAGTCTCCCCAGCTTCTTCTGAGCCGATTTTTCATTTGTTTTCGGCCACCAAACCAATGCCACCAATGCGTAGGAAATTCTGGGTCTTACAATCGTCAAATAAATCCAGTGGATCATTTTTGGTTTTAGGCCCCATTTCCTACCAAAAGTTTTCTTACTTATCCAAATAGCATTTATTGCCTTACTAACAACCTGCTCTATATGTGAGTTCCAGTTAAGTTTACTGTCGAGAATGACCCCCAGATACTTGACTGTTCGTGAATGTTCTAAAGAAGTTTCTTTCAATTTTAAGTTATTTATAGAAAATTTCCATTTCCGTGTGAACGGAATTATATATTATATATTCAACCCTTCTTTAGTGCACCACGACCAAACATTATTTAAAGCAGTTTGCATTCTATTTTAAATGACATTATCAAATTTTCCTCGTACTATTATGACTATGTCATCTGCAAAGCCAATTATCTCGAAGCCCTTTGCTTCTAGGTTTTTGAGAAGTTCGTCAACTATAAAAGACCATAAAAGAGGCGAAAGAACACCTCCTTGAGGACACCCTTTTACTGCTCTAACTGTCATGGAGGAGCTTCCAAGATTTGCTGAGATTTCTCTTTTAGAAAGCATCCCATTAATCCACCTAACGATGCTTTTGTCGAATCCAAGCTTAAACATATTGTTTTTCATGGAGTTATAAGTTGACGAACTTTTTAACACAGCTATGTTTTTAAGATTTTGAAAACATGAGCCATTCTCGTTGAAACCAAATTAATGGACCTCTCGCTCGCCAAGTTTTTAAAAAAGATGAATTTCTAGCAACTTTTGACATATCTATCATGTTAAATCTTTGAAATTTCATATGGAACCCTCCTGCAAACAACACGTTATTATGAAAAGGAAGGATAAGGCTTTTATTTGGCATGATTTTTGTTGGCAGCCATCTTGGATTTGTCCGCCATATTGGATTTTATAAGAAAAACGTATTTTTCAGTATGTTCACACGAGAATTGCTCACTTAGATATTTGTTGAGACTATTCGGGGAAAACTTTTCAAGAGAACTCGGATTGCGATTTTTGTATTTTTTTCGGAATAGAATAAATTTCAACCGTACCCTGACATTTAAAATTTCAATTTTGAGATCAACCCCCAATTTCGGGTTATATGGTAACGAAGGGAGGTGACACTACTCTAGTACAATGGTCTAGGATTTGTACCACCTACGAACTCGTGCAACCAGCTTAATGCGAATACGAATGCGAAATACATCATGCGACACATCAAATCACATGAGCCTTCAAAAAGCATCTCAATAGAAGACAACTGCACTTCGTGGATTGCCATACCCGGACATCTTACGGATACCCCAGGTTAAGCGATCAGAACCAAACATAAACCGGAAATTGGCCATGTGACACCTCAAATCACATTAGCAGCTCAATGGAAAACAATTGGGTTTCGTGAACCGCACCGGTCACACCTGGACTTGTTCCGGATACCCCGGAGGAAGTTGCCAGAACCCCACCAAAGCAAAAATCTGCAGTGTGACACATCAGCTCACATGAGCTTTCAAACAGTAGCTCAATGGAAGTTAACTAGACTTCACTCGACGAGTTACAGCTGAAAATCCAATTTCCACCGCCATGTTGGAATCCAAGATGGTGTCTTATAGTAGGGAATTTTTGGAATATGGCCAGAAAAAAAGTTGTCAGATATGCGATAATTGTGAGTATTTTTGGAAAAGTGAAGTCCAGGTATCCAAAAATGAGTCAAATACCAAGCAATGTGGATATTTTTTTTTGGAAAAGAGAACCCGAGCAAAGCTGAAGATCAAATTGAAATCAAAATTTGCTGTTATGATGTAACTTATATTGAATACTCCAGTTGATCTCATTTTGGTTGACTTAAAGGTTAACACAGCAAAAATTAGAGCACAATGTTACACTGTTGAATCAAACGGAAAACTAATCCTGCTATCAATTAAATCAATTTGATTACTGATTTTGCATTCATGTTGTTTAACTGAATACGGGCCTGGTGTAAATGGTTAGAATCCATGCTTCTCACGCTGAAAGACTTGAGCTCAAATCTCATCCCGGGCAAAACACTAACGACATAAAATGTGTTATACAAAACAAATAAACAATAATCGTTAGTTCAACAACAGATGAACTTAAATTAAATTTTAAACAAGACGTTAACAGCAGAACTTCAAGTTAAGTTGTTTTTATTTAAAAATTTTGACTGTATAATGAAAGCACAATATGATATCAGACTTCTGTCGCGGAAATTAAAATCAAAATTAGTTTTCATTATGATAGGAACTGCAAACTTTAATATCAATTTGCTTTCATTTTGTTAACCGACTTTGCTCGGGAACACATGCAGACTAGAGATCAGAAATCAATATCCAACGCTAGTTTTAAATCAAAGATGGTGACTTCCGCTTTTCGAAATAAAATGTAAGCAAGGATATTTCGAAACGGTAACTTTTCGTCAAAGTTTATTCAATCTCAGTTAAATTTGTTTGCTCGGAGCTCAACAGCGTAAATCTTGGCAAAAATGGCTTAGATTGGGCAAACAAAACTAATTGTACTATCGTTCTCTACATTGTGCATATTTCAGTTGAATTGGTTAAACAATTTGTAGATTGTGGTAATAAATGATCAACATAATATCAAATTTCTTTCAAGTGTAGAAGTAATCGTGGAAATTCTACAGTTTATTAAAAAAAATGCATTAAACCGAGAATTATTTTAGCGAAGACAACAAATCAAGAAGACTGGCAACTTTGCCAGAATCCCAGCGACAGATACAATGGCGCTGCGCTTGAGTGAAGGTGGAAGCAACGCATAGAAGAATGAGCAAATACACAAACCCTTCTTCTGAGGATGTAATCTTTACTATCAAACTCGTTCGAAGCATTTACCTTTGAGCGGCAGATGACGCGATTGTACCTGTCTACCTGTACCTGTACTTGTGCGTTCGTATGAGAAAATTGAAGAGTTGTCAGTTTTCTTGATTTGTTGTCTTCGATTTTAGTCATCTCATGAAAGGTGCGAACATTCTCAAAGAGACCATTTATTTGGGTCAACTCAGTGTCAACATTATAAAGGGGCGTAATTGCATTTGTAAACAATGGCTTGAACCATCGATTTCTTTATTTGCGAGAAATCGATAGCTCAAGCCATTGTTTACAACAGCAATTACGCCCCTTTGAAATGTTGGCACTGAACTGTAACGGAATTTCTCATAAAACCGAACTTCCTTATAGAAATTTAGGCTAGTTTTATCACTATGTATTTCCATACAGAATATTTCCAGAGATGGTGCTGTTTCCTTGTTTCTTCTTCTTCTTATTCGCATTTCAAGCTTATTGCTTAGCGCATATTAGCTTATTGCGTGCTCTCAACTTAGTGTTCTAAATGCACTTCCACAGTTATCAATTGAGAGCTTTCGGTGCCAATACCAATGCATGAATTTGTATATTGTGTGGCAAGCAAAATGATACTCTATGCCCAGGGAAGTCGAGAAAATTTCCAACCCGAAAGATTCCCTCGACCGGACCGGGAATCGAACCCGCCGCCTCCGGCTTGGTAATACCGTGCCTTTACTGACTAGGCTATGGGGCCCCATATTCCTTGTTTGGCATCGTTGAATTCAGTATGGGAGAAGAGAGAAAATCATTTATTTCCAATAATTACAAGCAGTAATCAAGAATTCACGTTGCAAAGTACATAGAGATAGTAAATATTTACCTTCTTTGACACTTTTATTTTTAACTTTACTAGATAATTTGCTGTAAAATCAAAAAACAGATCATTCCCATACTCTTTACTTTCAACCTTACTAGGGTTTTTGATCTAATTTCCGTCCTACTAAGCACAACCCGCACTTTACCTCTCTTTTCTGAACGAGTTTAAACAAAAAAATGGAATATTTCTGTCAAAAATGACTTCTAAATTTATTCACCTTTCCATACGTACCGTTGGATTTGATAAAGAGCCACAAATTGTTGAGATATTGTTTAAAATCTAATACTGCTTCTTGATTCTAAATTCGTTCTACGAGTTTCAATTCCGTCCAAACGCATTGAAACGCCATTCGTCCTACGGATAAACGTAGAAAAAGGGGATTCGCTAGGAGCGCTTCTTTTGTTTTGAGAACAATGGGCGTAAATGTTCATACAATGCGCTCTAACAGGATTTATGTTGTAGCTAATGAACAAACGCATGGAACAAACCTATTATTGATTTGTGCACGGTGAAATCATTGATATTATTGATCTTTTCTGATCGATAGAACGGAAATGGGCGATTACGACGAAGTAGCGCTCTACCCTACCAAGAGAATAAGCTACTTTGTCTCTCACACAATTCTCTTTCTCCGACGAGCTTTAACTCTCTACATGCCATGTATTTTGATGACACACTATTTATGATTTCCCTCTCACTCTGTGCTCTCACTGACTTCATGTCACAGAAAAAAGTTATCCTTATTTATGCACTTAGATAAACATTCAAGTTCCGATTTTGCACACTCAGCACAAAAGATACTTTCTAAACCCCTACTCATTCATGAAAAACGGTTAGAAATACTGTTAGGGGTGGGGCTTAGAAAGTATTTTTTGTACTGAGCATGCACAAAAGGAGGGGCTTCTGACTTGTTTTGCAGTATCAGGATCTCTATTTTCTAGTCTGTGGAAGGGATTTCTGATGGCCATCGGCTCATTGACTGATCGTTTTTGACTTCAAAAGAAACCCCCTACTGGAGAGAAAATGTTCAAGCAAAAACCTACGGTAAACTAGCTAACTGAAGAGTGCTTTATTCTGAGGCAAAAGATTAGTGCATTAAATATAGAAAAGAACAATCTATTGAAAACTTTTAGAAATTCAAATCAAACTACAAGTCCGAGCAAATCAATGGTGTCAACATCTATAAAAAATAATATTAAAAAAATCATGCATACATGCACTCCTTGCGCATTACTCCCGCTAGGTGGCTCAGTGGTCGTCGAGATCGTCGTCGTTGTGGAGGTCGTTGTAGTGTTATCTAACATCGCGGTAAGATCGGACTTTTGCGAATGTCTTATACTGGTGCCGCTAGAGGCACCACCACCGTAGGCCACCGTCGCCGCCGCCGCCGTCGACGCCTTTGTCGCCTCATAGTAATCGGGGGGTTTCGCGGGGATGGGCGTGGTTATCGTTTTCGTCTCGTGGCTACTACTGTGCGGGCTGAATCTAACGTGTAGTGAGGCATGATGCTGTTTTCTACTACTACTACTGGCCGTGCCTGTGAGATTGCTATTGTTTCGTGTCGTGTTCGGACTGACTGATTGTGGTGGGGGTTGCTCTTGCTGTAGCAGTACTTGATAGTCGTAGTTTGAGTTTCTAAGCGTCGTCGAAGTACTAGTAGTGGAGGGTACTGTATTTTTGGTGGTGGTGGCGGTGTCGACGGTAAAAGCTGAGCTTGGCTGTGGTGTGCTGCGACCGGGTGGCTCTTCGGCGTTTAGTAAAAGCGATGTGTTGCTGTTGAATGTAGGCTACACGGAATCCGTGTTGGTGGTAGTGGTGGTGGTGATGGTGGTTGAGTGTTGTGGTGGGAGAGTAGGCGAACAATAGTAGTTAGATGAAACGAAAGAGAGCGTTTTGGTAAAAGACAAAAAAAAAGAAAATTCAATGCAGAGGGGTTATTGGGGTGGAAGTATTTCCTGGTAGAATGTGTATTATAGCAGATTGTGTTTGCAAAAACCGGTCACTCAACCGCACGCACACGCACACGCTTACGACGGATGTGCACTTTGATGTCCACTGATGCTTCAGCGGAGATCAAACCTCGGAAATCAAAATGTGCAACTCTACTTGAATAAAAGTTAAATTCCAATTAGTTACAATGACGATCAACATAGAGATAAGTGAAACGAATAATGCAAATAGTTTTGAACTGGTACTCGAAAATAAGTACTTCTTTTGAGATAGTGGAATACGAGGCAATCGAAAGAAACACTCACACAGAAATGACAAACACAAACATGAGCATTGGTTAGTTGAAGAACCAGTTCATCACGGTGCCAAGACTGACATTTTCCAGTAGTAGGTACTCGTACACATGATGGGTGTGAAAGCTTACCTCGGACACCTCGACCGCTTCGCCGGTCCTCAGGTCGATCACATCGCCGTACGCCCGGCCCGCTATGCTGCACTTGTTGAATGTCATGATGTTCTGTGTCAGCGTTCCCGTTTTGTCCGAGAAAATGTACTGAATCTGACCCAACTCCTCGTTCAGTGTCGTCGTCCGCGCTTTGGCGTGGGTCTTCGTCTGGTCATAGTACATCTTCTCGTCCCAGTTGATTAGAAAGGATTGCGCAAAACGTATCACCTGTTTTGAGTGGATATAAAATGCATTACTTTCTATATCGACTATCAGATTCTGGCAGCACTTACCTCGACCGAAACATATAATGAAATTGGCACCACTGTATTCAGTACAATTGCGTAGGAAAAAAAGACTAGACATCCAATGATGGTAGCACCCTGTAGATAATCCTTTGGAATTATGTTTTCCCATGGCAGATAATCCTGTTGAAACATGGGACCAACATAAGCTTGGAATTGAGAGCCATAAAAAGTGAGTTACTTACTTGAAATTTATAGCCTACTATCGCTTCCCATATTGCGGCCGCTATCGTGCAGAATCCGCAGATGGATAAAAGAAAAAATACTATCTGCAAAGACAAAACAACAATAGACGGAGGACCAATCTTAGTAAATCATTTCACAAAAGTTTATGACTCATCTTTAATGCTTTGAAAGCAGCAATAAAAAAAGGAAAACCGACAGCCCACTGCTAATTGATTTAACAAAGAGGAGACGAACGAAATAATGCGTTTGTTCCGGATTCAACAGATTTATTTACCCTCGGCGATGATGATGGTGATCATGGTCAACAATGACACACCCAAAAAACCAGATTTCCTGGGGAGAGCAAAGTAAGTGATGTTTGTTCGGAGTAAATAATGAAATCCAGCTTGAAAGGGGAAGTAAAAGAGCACGGCCCACGGTTTGATGATTGAGTGAAAATTTGTCGTCTGGAACGCTTGTTCCAGGTGTTGACTACAAAAATGTGACAAATGTTTAACTGTTGCACTGCCTAGTTGAGACACAGGGTTGTTTAAGAAGAGGCTTAATGCCTCAAAAAATTGTTTTGAGTATTCTAAAAAGCAATGTTTTGATTATTCTAAACAAAAATGTTGTTTCCTATTTTTCTTAAGAGCTACCTACATTGCACTTTTATATGGGCAACCTATTTTTCCTCTATGCGGGACATAACACTACTGCGACTAGTAATTTGATCTATTGTCCTTAGTTTATTGCATGTCGTATACCTCCATTACTGTTGAGAAATGATGATGTTTTCGGTTTTGATACAGTTGTCTTTCTTGCCTTCATCGCAAGGAATCGATTCTAATTGAATGGCCCCGCTATTTATGCCTTTTGGAGTGTTGAAACACCCTTCAAAGGCGCGCCCCTTTGTCAGTCAAAATTGGATTCCTTAGCAACACAATTAAATAATGACACCGATAATGACCATGTATCAGAATCCTCGTCTTAACCACTTCAAACTAGGGAACAACGAATAGAAGATTAGGAATCACATAGATGAAGACTAACTAACTCATTTTTTTCCTTGTTTCAAGATCATCCTCGGTGGACAAAGCCGAGTCTTGTCACTATCAACAAGGCATTAAAAGTAGCAAGGACTAAGATGTGTTCCTTTGATTACTGAAAAATCCTGTTCCCCTACTTTGAAGTAGTCAAGACTAGGAATCGGTGCTACATCTTACATCCCGTAACGTACCACGAAAAGGTGATTAACCCACGTTAAGGGCACAACTCAAAATGTGCCTTTGATGCTACTTTATTTTTGACTTCTTTGAAAAAGTAGCAAAGGCATATCTACCTTTAACTTACGCTTTTTCATGGATTTCAAAATGGGTTTATGTTGGATGAAACTTCACATTATTTGCCGTCATTTGCCATTAAAATCTCACAAATGAAAAATTTCGGCTTGGACAGTATTGCATGAAACTGACGATATGTTTGGTACGATACATTATTTCAAAAGCTATACTCTATAAGGACGGGCGGGATGAATGTTTACACCCATTTTTCTTAAAAAGAAGAAGGGTCTGTGCCTATGGACACGAACGGAAGCTTGACGTAGGACCGCTAATGGACGGAACAAATATGTTTATCATTTAGTTCTTAACTGTTTCCATTTTTGAATTGGTGGCCCTGAGAAGGGTTGGTTTTTTTCAAATGGTGGCCACACCAGTGCAAGTCTATGCTGACCGGATGATGGCGGCCTAGTCATGCTGCCCATTTGAGGGAAGCCTTTTCCCCGGTCGATGTGGGTGCTTTCATCGTCGTCTTCGTATTGGTACGATCGAGGGTGCGATGCGTGTTGTTCCACTCATACATCGTGTCCGAAGCTTATCCGTCTGTTGCTCGCAAGCAAATGACGAAGAAAACGATTTGGCAAGCGATTTTATTATCACTGCTTTCTCTTCCCTTCTTTTCATTGGTGAAATGGAGAGCGAGCGGTCAACCGAGCATTGAGCTCGCTCATGTGAGCATGTACAATGTGTCGTCTGTTCGATTTGCACTCTATCGTTGCGTCCGTGTTTGGGATTTTTCGTTACATGTCTGAATTTTGAATTTTTAATGTGACCCCCAGTATAGAAATTAAAGACGTAGTCCTACGTCAAAAAAAAAGAAGCGCTCCGAATTCGAATTAATTTTTCCATTCCATTTTGACGTAGGACTACGTTTGTGATTTCTATATGGGGGTACACTTTGTGAAAACCAAAAATGGAACATGTAACAAAATTATGAAAGATTTTGAACGTTAATAACTCAGCTGCCGCTGGACCAATTTCAATAATTTTATCACCAATCGATCAGAAATATTTCTACGCGCCTGTTAAATTTCATCAACTTCTCAAAAACCTTCGACAACGCGCAAAGTATGCGGATTGGGCGCAGATTGGTAATATCGTTTAAATGCGCTTTTTTTTCAGAGGCAAAATTTTTACGTGCTTCCAGCAATCGGGAAAGGTAGATGTTTCTATGAACATGTTGAACAGATGAGTAATGTGTTGCAGGACAAACGGTAGGATGATCTTAACGAAGGTAATCGGTAAACCGTCCATCCCAATAGCGTTTGATTTAATCTCCCAGATAGCATTGACAACTTCCCAGTACCGCACAGCTTGGAAAGAGAAGCTATACCGCGAAGGAGATGCTCATCTCGAAGCTCTTGCTACTCGAGTGCTGTTTGTAAAGTTGGCTGCGAATGTTTGATTCACTTCGTCCGTATCAAACTCACATGGAGACCCGTTTCCAAACGGTTTTCGACGGAGTTCTGCTGTCCAAGAAACGGTCATGTGTTCATAGTGAACAGCGAAATCGGCCAACTTCTCTGCCAAGAAAGATAAGCAGTCGTTATCGGGAGGGTTGTAGATGGTCATCAGCAAAATCTTGCTGCCGTCCACTCGAAACTCTAACGCCAAACATTCAGTTTTGTCCGTCGATTCTGCTGTAAGTACCGTGCCGAAAACCTTGGAGCAGGCAAGATGTTTCTTGTACTAAACAGCGATTCCTCCGCCGCGCCTACACGCCCTTGGAGTCCGACAAGACGTTCCGAACTTCATCGAGCTTACTGGAATTACGAGCGCAAAGACTCTGGGCATTTCCATGGCAGATATTAAGCTTTCCAGCGAAAAGGACAGCATTCAGCACTGCTCCTGGAATGTTCGTAGAGGTGTGGTTGTGTGTCGGAAGCATTAAGTATACTGGGGGAAGCAATTTCTAGAGGGCTGTATTTTTACGGAGGAAAATAAAACAAATATCTCTGTCACACAATCTTCAACACAACAATACATAAGTTGAAACACTACTACATAGACATAACTTCAAAAGTGAACGAAAAACATAGTTACGAATATTTGTCCAGCCTGTATCACGATTGTAGGTCCACCAGCTGCAGGCTTTAAATGGACGACTCCTTGCTTGCTGTACACCGATGCTTGCTTACCCGCCTTCTTCAGGTGTAGTACCGCCGACTTCAATTTCCGCGCTTCGATGGTCAGGCTTTCGTTGATGTACACCCGGCGGTCAGAATCCAATCCGATGTGTCTCAGCTTGAGGTCTCGCTTTCGTAAATATGCACTGTAGAGCTTGTCTCACGTTGTCTTCAGTGCAAACTCCACAACGATAAGACCGTCATTGTCCGAGTTGCTGCTGGATTTTATCCGTCTGGTTTCTGCCATCGAGGTGGTCGTATCCTTCACGGATAGGTGCCGTCCGATCGCCTTGAGCGTTGAGTTCAGGTTTTCACCAATACGGAAAGGGATGCCGCTTATGATGAGCTCGTTCCGGTTTTGTAGGGCCCCGATTATCTGGGACACACTGTCCACTCTCTCATTCAGCGAGTCCAAGGCGGCGTCGTGATGTTGAAATTTCGCTGCACATTCGTCTTTGACCGATTTGATGTCATTCTTCAACTCGGTTTTAACGGAATCAATTTTGTTGTTGACATCCTTGATTTCGCTCCACACACTGTATCAATCAGCTGCCTGATTACCGTGAACTGCTGCATCATCGTCTTCATCATACCTTCCAGCGTGATCGAATTCACACTCGCATCACTTGCCGCCGAATCCGTCTTTTGCTCGTCCTGGTCATCAATCCGCAGTCGCTTGTTCGTCAATGCTCAACTACTTTTTCGAAGGGACGTATCAGCTTTTGTAAACAATGCATTTGGCGTAACTGGTAGCTCGCCCACGCATTTTAACGATAGGGGAAATTTTCCCCTACCTGATAGTGGTGTTAGTATGCGTGAGGGCGGCGATCAAATGCAATGTTTACAAAAACTGATACGTCCCTTCGAAAAAGTAGTCGAGAATGGTGTATTTTTACCCGGTTTACCAACAGCTGGTGGAGTGGAGTGCGCTGCAAGTTCGCCATCGCGTGTGGGGAGGAACAGTGAAAATAACACAATCTGAGTGTTGTGTACAACAAAAGAGCGTCGACGGTAGGTTGTTGATTTCAAGCGCCGCACAACAATAGCAATGGTGAATCCACAGACCGAATGCAGGCAAAAAATTTCGACCGCAGTAACACACTGGCACATTATCGTACCGACTGGATAACGCGTACGGGATTAATTCGGACACTCCGGGTCGCGATGGAATAGATTTCGGTAGTGAAACTACGGTGGAACTTCACTTTTGGAGCAGTCTAATCCGCGACTATTCTCGACACATACTCGTGTTCACGTCGTCTCTCTATTGAATTCAAAGCCCATTCGGTCGCACCAAACGGTTTATTCAATCACCGCGTGGTGAGTGGTGGTGTTCTCCAGTACACAACGTAAGGCTGCCTGCAAGCAGCGAGCTGCAGTTCACATGACCACCCATAGAAGGAGGATAAAGCCGCACCGCTATTGATCGGAATCAGTAGCTCTCCGTGAGTTGCTGTGGGCCATCTGTCAAGCGCGTCATACTACAGAGTATAAATAGAGAGAACCCCGCTCAAATTCCTATTCCTACACAAAACACAAGCTCCTGCTGCAGGTAACAAATAAGATTTGTTATATAAGACCACGTAGCCCTACGTCACCATAGCGTACAACCCCATAGGGTTGTCCCTTGTAGTTTTTAAC